TTTTGAATTAAAGAAAAATGTACTGGATGGAAATGGTGGCATTATTTGGTTTGTAAAAGCAGAAAGGGCAACAACGTCACACTTCAGTGCTAGTCACTATTATTCATAATAGTTTACGCACTTTTCAATTCTTCAATTTCTTTACTTATGCGAACAGGCATCACAGCGTTAAAGGGTAGATACAAGGACATTCATGGTGCCACAAACGTTACACAGGACTAACCAGAGAAATATCCACGTTAATTAAATTGAATTTGTAATGCCACTGATACTGCTCCGAGTCATAATCCTGCAACACTTGTGTGCGAAATGATTTCAGTCCTTAAAGGCTGATAACAGTATTTTCCCAGCTGGAACGTTGTTCCTGATTTCTGCTTTACATACAAAATAACGTTCAATATCTTAATTTAATTTATTTATATACCATATTTCTTCCAACAGGTTATTAGTAATTTAATCAGAATATAGTTATTTTCTTTTGGACCCAGATTAAGGTGTTGTTGGTTGCATAGGAGCCAACTCTCGTGCCTCACAAATATGTGTATTTACATAGCCCAATATCACCAATTACTACTTTGGCTCTGGGGGTTTCACAATATGATCAGCACACGACACTCTCTGTGCCCCTTACAGCAGACATGGATAATCTCCCACTAAAAAACTGTAACGGGCTGCATTCACCTAGACGTAAACAATAAAGAGTGCAACGTTCGAGACCTCTGTGCCAAGCAGGCTGATGGGTTAATCATAACATAACATTTGTCACATTTTTAGCAGAGCACGTACATCGTTACATTTCTTTACTTTATGTCGTTGATTGCGTTATAAATGCCAAATTCTTTCACTTGTGTTTTCCATATGTACATTAATGTACAATGTAAGGTAATGTAATATGTACATTATTAGTATGTGCACAATGTCGCAGGAGTGAAACCGATTTTTCTTTATTATTCCATGATATTTTTACATTTACGGTTTGATCATTTGGATGTACAACATATTAAAGGTTGGGTAGGTAATTTTGGAGAAACCAGCTCGAGTGCGCTAGAATTTGAAAATACACAGCCGGAACAAATCTGCCACTTCCTACAGAGCCCCTCCTCCAACACACACGAACGCGCACATGACCAATGAGGGCACGAGATAAGTTTGTGCACAGATGGAAGGCTGACAGGCAGGTAGGCCATCCAGTTATTTTAGCCGGGCCGGCTCAGATGATTGGTCGTGCTTTTTACAGCGCCACGGCTTCCACAGATGACATTTCTTTATGTATTTATTGTCAAAGCACTTCAGATATTCATTGCTATCGGGATGTTAAGAGCATTCCATGGAATATAACAAAAAGTGTATCTCGAGCCGGTTTCTCAAACTTACCTGCCCCACCTTTAAGTGCATGTGTCTGAATAATACCCGTGGTTGTTAAGTAGTTTCAGAAGTTCAACCCAGAGAATTTGACTATTCCAGATTTGAGAAAGTCTGTATTTTTCTGGAGACTGCATGTGATTGGACTTGCAGTCTCCGTAAACTTGCAGGATGTGTATTGTTGCCGTAGGTTTGGAGGTGTCTATCACCTGAGCTAACCCTAGCTAGGAGTTAGCATAAGCAAATATCAAGGGGCCATCTTCATCATGACATTCGTGTATTGTTTTTAATTTTGTTGTTTGTTTGTTTTTATTTGTTCAAAGAAAAAAAACGTAGACGTAACCCTTCATCACATATAAGCAATGAAACACAAAAAGACAGAACTTTGGATACCAGTTTGATTTGTCCAACTCTTGTCTATTTCTCATATTTTTACCATTACAAAAGAAATGACCCAGGTGTGCTCAATAATAATTCCCATTTGCTCATAAATTGTTCCTTATTAGCATAGGTATACATAGTAGGGATGTGCATCTCCATCACTGAGGCTGATGCGATGCGCATGATACGTTTCCAACGATACGATACATTAACGATACATTTGAAGCACCGGGCGATGCGATGCGATACGATACGATTCACCCCTGTTCGATACTATTTGATTCAACATTATGCGATACGGGGCGATACGATGCGATTCAACACGATGCAAAATAACGATACAATTCAATATGGTACGACAGAGGGTTTTTGTTTTATTCCTTATATGCAGCAAATCATAAATTAACAAAAAAGTGCTTTACATATTTGGTTCTCTCTGCTAGTGCATCCCATCATGCTGTTTCTTTTTGACCTTAAAAAGCTCTCCAGAGTACAGTACAATGTTATAACACCTCACAGATAAACATTTTAAGGATGCATTGCTCAGGATTAACAATGTGCAAATAACAGCTACCATAGAGCAATGCCCATACAGCTGCCAGCCTGATGTGCTTAACACTCATCCATAGGCTAACTCACCAGTGAGCAGAAAGCAGTGGTTTCTATATGAACAATAAAGAATACAGAGAACCTTTCACAAACGGCTCTTTCATAACTGCTTACAGTAAGGAAGACATTTAACTATTATTGGCCGTCACAGGCTGCTGTAAACTAAACACCACTCTCTCTGACAGAACACCTCACTGAGTGATTTAACTCAGTCTAACTTTGAGGTTTCTCTTTTCAGCCGCAGACCCCATGTCTCCTCTTTATGTGCGTCGCTAAGTTCCTCGTACTACTTGTGTACTTTAAAGCGGCATGGCATGGTTAACAATTTGCGAGCGATTTTTCAAGTTGACCGTCTTTCTTGAAAAATCCGAAGTGTTGCCAAACGTTTGATTTGTAGGTATTTTTCGGTGCGCTGTGTTTCTCTTTCTCCTCGACTTCCATGTGTCGATAACTGAGACTCTCGGCCTCCGTAGTGGCGAAGCAAAGATCGTCTCTGCTGAGTGCTGACAGGATGAGGGGATTTTATATGAATGAATCTGTTTTTTACCGATGCAAAGACGCTACAATCGATGCATCGCGAGTTCAACCCAAACTGTAGCCGATGTGCACTCTTTCAACCGGTGCACTCGCATCTTGAACGTTTATGCCGGTGCACCGATGCGAATCGGTGAATCTTAACATCCCTAATACATAGGTGATTAGTATACGACTACATAGGTAACACCTCTAAATAATAATATATCAGCAGTTGTCGGGCCTTGTGCAAATACTCTGGAAAATACTCTTGACCACTGGTAACAATGTTCTTGCCAAAAAAAAGTGCTACAAAAAGAACATTAATAAATGAGAACAAAACGTGGATATAAACAAAGAAAGGGAAATGTGTTCCTATATCACGTCCTGCATGGGGCTCACGGGTTGTAGCCCACTATCTCTGGTAGTAAATGTGAAGCTGAGTCTGCAGCTCCCCTCAGATTTACGGAGCTTTCTAGAGAATTTCAGCTCATTGTTTTTTAGCCAACAATTCATACCGGGCGGTCTCATAGCGTGAGCATCAGCAAACAGAAAACGGACACATTTAGAGACTAGCTAGTGAAGATAGTGGAGCATTCAGCAGAGATAGATATTTGTCCCCAGGAGTTGGTAGAGACCAAAAACAGATCCACAAGACAAAGAAAACTGGACTTGGATTCATCAAGTGGAAGCAAACACAACGTTTCTCTGTGAACATTGCATCTGTTACTGCTTGATGTGGAAATATGCAACTGATAAGTTCAATTCAAATGTTGTTTCTCCTGCCTCCAAGTGGACAGACAAAGTTTATTAACATATCAAGTCAGTTTTCTTTTCACTGAAACACATAAACGTAGACAAATAAACATTAAAACAATCCAATTGTTTTTTTTAGACAATTATTTGTCCAGCGGCAGGGTCCAGCAACACCGTGAAATGGTAGGCGATAAATAAAGCAATATGTCAAAGGGGGAAAAACAGTATATAATGGACGGACTGAAAAGTAACATTTCAATTATTGCACATCCTCTACATTCTGCACAATGTATTGAACATTTAACCAGTATCGAACAACAGAACATTTTAATTAGCACATTTCACTTGATATATCAGCTGTCAAGGACAACAAAAATACTTTTTTTATTGGGAGATGAGGGGAAAAAAAGGGTCAAATGTATTGGTTAGCAGTGTATATATTTGAAGAGAAGAGGTTAATGCAGTGTGAAAAACTATACTGAGTGATGTATAATTAACATTAGAAAAGGTGGTGTGGGTTAAAACTTGGCCTATAAATTGGCCTACTTTAGCTCACGGCAGGCCGCCATGTTCTTGTTGGATAACATGTAACAAGACAACGAAGTACAGAAATGTAGGGCTGATATCCATTAGAGACAGTCTCCATTACATACAAGTTTGTTTGTACACTGTAACAAATGCATTTCTCTGCTGACATGTACTTATCAGCAAACTGGAACACTTAGTACTCTTTGCTGTAAGAGCAGCAACAGTCCTGCCCTAAAGTCCCACCCTGGGCTGTGACCGCATGTGTTCCAGTAGTTTTGTTATATACTATTAATTAAAGTTGCTTCAAATGTTGACCTAATATAGAAGCTGAAAATATTATCTTGTGCTGAATATGACTATAGATAACTTGATTCAATTAGCCTGATTATACTGATAGACTCAACTTATACAACCCATATGTATTTTTACTTTACCTTCTATCTTTACTTCCAATAACTCGTAGCAATACCACAATAATATTCTCAATTTTCACAAACAATTTCAATTGCTCTTCAACTCCAATGTAGATCATGTCAAGCATAGCTATTCCACTAAACAAAATGGCACATGTTAGGAGGGCTTCATCTAAGAGAGATAAGTACCAGCCAATCACAGCATGCTAATGCGGGACTAGGTGGAATAGTATTGGTTCAAAATAATAATGCTTCTTTAACAACAAGCTAATATTGGCCTGCATGGTGTATCAGTCGCTCCACTTGCTCTACTTTTGAAACATTCAAAACGCTTCCAGACTGAATTAAATGAAAAGCTCTGTTTAAGTGATCTTTCATTGACAGATGCTGTTTATAAAAAAGTTGATATGATAATTGATTTCTCTGTCTCTGTCGCAGCGTTGCCTCCCAAACCGGCCAAGCCAGCGCCTCCAGCTGCTGCCTGTAGTTTCAACAACAGTATCTCCCTGCAGGACGCCGAGTGGTACTGGGGGGACATCTCCAGGTAACGCACACACACACACACACACACACACACACACACACACACACACACACACACACACACACACACACACACACACACACACACACACACACACACACACACACACACACACACACACACACACACACACACACTCACACTCACACTCACACTCACACTCACACTCACACTCACACACACACTAGTGCTGTATCAGAATATTCGTTCGTTGGAGTACTATTCGGGTTTCGATTTCGTTATTCGGATATTGTTTTTTTCCTGTTTTTTTTTGTTGAATTTATTGAAATCTCCGAAGAGCTTGTGCCTCTTTGGGTGGTGCTAACACTTAACCATACACTTTATTGTTTACTTTCTCCGTCTTTATATGTAGATATTACTTTTGTCCCTTAATCTCCATCACATTGTTTCCATAGCAACAACAACTTCCTGTCAACAGCGCTAACTCTCCTTCAAAATAAAAGCATGTCCATAAAAAATAGGAAGCCAAGCCAAATTACACTTAAGACATATACAACTGCAACGAAAGTACAATGCAATATCCTTTTCAATTTCAAAGAACACAAATTGGGTTATTTACATCATTATTACAATCGCGATTTCGATTTAAAATCGATTAATCGTTCAGCCCTATCACACACACACACACACACACACACACACACACACTCACACTCACACTCACACTCACACTCACACTCACACTCACACTCACACTCTCACACACACACACTTAATAATACTGTGTATCATTTCATGCTGTTTTCAACTTCCCCAACAGTTTATACAAGTACAGCTGGAATGATTAGTTGATTAATCAGTACTTCATTTGACAGAATTCTAATACATTCATTTTTCAAGATTAAAAAAATAAATGTTCATCTTAAGATATGGTCATATTACAATATTTAATTGTTTCTGTTTTTACTCCCTAGTCATTTTGTCAATTGAGAAAGCCATTTGAATCTGTAATGAAAATAATCATCAGTTAATAGTTCAAAATGAGCTTCACCCTAACCAACTACAACAGTCAAATCATGTTGTTAATATAAATAGTATATACAAATATAACTGTAGCAGTGAGTTTAGTGGCCGACAGGTGCAAACATGTTACAAAGGCCCAAAACATTTCCATTCGGAGAAACGTGCTGCAGTTTTGAAAAATGATTCAAATGAAAAAACATCTTCACAAACTTGACAACACGAGCGGCAACAATATCGGAAATAATCATGTGATGCAACATGTTGAGGAACCTGTGACCCAAGTGTTTCATTCATTGCATATTACACCGTAGTTGTGTACATGTAACATATACATGAATATCAACCTTTAAAATAAGCCAATAAAACGTACCCTTTTAGGGATGTTTGCGTCACAAGCGTCCCAGTCCCAGCTGTGTGCGTCACCTTTTAGTGTCCCTGTTTTTGTTGAGTTTGAGCTTCTTGCAGTGTTTCCTTTATGCAGCACTTTTAATAGCCTGTCTCGTCGGTTGGTCAGTTGGTGAAGATGTTTCTTTATTTGAATGTATTTTTTATTTGCTTCATTTTTGAAACTGCAGCGCGTTTCTCTGGAAATGTGTGGGCTGTTGTAACGCGTTTGCACCCGTCGGCCACCGTAAAAGAGACATTTTTATACTTGAACTACATTTGACCGGTGATACCAACATACTTTTACTGTGGTACAGATTTCAATGCAAGGCCTTTTTTGAGTTTTTCTCTAGTGCGGTTTTAGTACTTTAACTGAAATAAAGAATCTGAAAACATCACTTCCACTGATTCTTTACAAACGGTTTCACCTGGTCCAATGAAAGCAGAGAGTGTTGTATCAGACTTTGCACAGTGTGTATTGTTTTAACGTGTGTGTTTCCTTTGTGTGTTTTTAAGAGAGGAGGTGAATGAGAAGCTGAGAGACACAGCTGACGGTACATTCCTGGTGCGAGACGCCTCTACTAAGATGCACGGAGACTACACTCTGACTCTGAGGTAAACATGTCCACCCCCTCCATCAACATCTCCTCAAACACATCCAGGGGCCTCGTTTAGAAACTACAGCTGTGCAACACGCACAGGAAACCTCAGATGTAACGTTATTTATTTTCCTTTGTAGAAATAATAGTAAACCAAATGCATTCAAGATGGGTTGCACATGTATGTACAAAACTTTATTTACAGAAACAATTTCCATCCATTTTGTGTCATATTTAATAGCCTTATTTGATATATAACCCATGCACTCGTTCTACTTCTGTCCTTTAGGAAAATACATTTCATAAAATGCTAGCGCTATAACCTGTAATAATTGGAGAACATATTCAAGGGGATGTTTGCAATCACACATCCGTATTTATTTCTTTCTCCAAATGATGTTTTATTTTAGCATTCTGGAGTCTCAAACAGGTATTTTCTCTTCATTGTAAGATTGGCTTTTATACATTTTTGCCAAAGAACTCTCCGTATATGATGAGGGATTCTTTTGATTCACTGTATTATTTAGACACGTTTTTCTTTTTTATTGCAAACTCTCCCTCGAAATGTACATACCCTATCTTTTGAGCGTATTCAATGTTTATAAATGAGACCCCATCTGTTTAGATTATGTCTATCACCAATAGAACTAGGGATGCTCCGATCGCCAATTTCGGGGCCGATCGCCGGAATCAGTATCGGCCGATGCCGATCCGATCGAGTGGGCGGGGCCTAAATGGAAGATTTAAACATCACTTTAAAACTCAGTTAATGGGGCTCATTCACTGGAGCTTCCACAAACAACAATCAACTTAATTATTACATTCAAATGATGTACATTATTCAAGTTTACATTCACTTTGGATAATAACACAGGAGAAATTAGCGGAAGCGCTCTCTTTTCCTCTCTCCCTCTCTCTCTCCCCCCTCTCTCTCCCCCTCTCTCTCTCTCCTGACAGCCTGTCAGTATCTCATGCAGCTCACTGATCCAGTAATGAGTGACCCGACAGTGAAGAATACATATATTTATAATGACTAGTTTAGCTTGTTCCAGAGGTAGATAACATAGCTAAGTGTGTTAGGTCTAACTCTTGTGTGTTTCGCTTCGCTTACCGGTCCGGCGGGCGGAGCTGCAGGATTTCTGCTTCACACACGTTGCATACCGCTATTTTACTGTCTTTTTCGGACACCTTAAAATAATGCCAGACCGGTGAAGCCATTTTGGCGAGCTTGTTTTGCCGCACACAGAGAAAAGTGTCATGTATTTTACGTCATGCGATCGGCATGTTTAGAGAGCACCGATCGATCGGTAGAGAGTGAGTATCGGTCGATCTCGATCGTTGACCGATCGATCGGAGCATCCCTAAATAGAACCAAATCAGATTTCTGTGCGATGGGACATCAGCAGTTGTCTAGGTCAGGGGTTCCCAACCTTTATTGTGCCAAGGACCGGCAGATACATAAAAAAAAAAATCGCGGACCGGTTGTCAATTTTAACTGATTTTAATATTTACTCACCACCAGCAGGTAGCAACAGAGGCTAATTGTATGTAACAGCCTGAACAAATACTAGAACAATATGCATCCAAAACATATTAACAACGTTTAAAAAAGAACCAGTGTCGTTTTTTGTTTTTTCGGAAAACCGGAAAACCAACGTTATTCAGTTTTTAAAACCAAAACGGGTGTGTGTGTGTGTGTGTGTGTCATTTATTTTCACAAGATATTATGATAGTGACGTTCGTTCCGGTGCACGTCCGACAGCATTTAGCACTACATCGAGATTAAGATTAAACTAACTTCTAATGGAACACCCGCATACAGGCTACCTATGGAGTTAGCCAGATGTGTGTAAATGACTGTTCATGGTCATTTGAAAACAAATGCCGGTGTCGGACAGACACACCGAACACACACACACACACACACACACACACACACACACACACACACACACACACACACATCATGCGCCTTGGTAACTGGACATCTCCTTCATAAAACTAATAAAAGAGGGAGTAATCGGGCAGTTCGATGTGTGTAGACAGAGGTGTGTGTGGTTAACACGTAGCAGCCTGCAGTCACTCTTAAACTGTTCTGATGAAGGTAAACACAGCGAAGGCGGTGCGTAAAAAGGCACAGCTCTCGGCGCGCTGGTGCTGCACTTCTCAGAGGCGGAGTATACGTCCCGCTGCCTCCTGATGCTGCAGCCATTTCACGAAGGAGGTTTTCTTCTATAAAACAGCTGCGGGCAGCAGATACCGTGAGAGTCCCGGACATGAATTCATAGATCAAGTCAGACTGGTTTACTCTCCTGTTTTGCCAATCCGGTGCTTAGACAAATAGCTCTACACCCCTGGCCGACATGTCCTTAAAATGAAGTCCGAGTTTGAAATATATCTCAAATAATGTATGCACTGCCATTTGCCCACATCAACATAACAGTCTGCAATCAAACGGTTGTCTCCTGCGCGCTCCTCTTCCTCCTTGGCGCACCGGTAACTTTCTCGTGCGCACAAGAGGCTGAGACCAGGCTGAGCCGCCGAATCCCTCGCAACATCATAAAAGCCATTTTCAACGGTTTTCTGGTGAAAGATTAACTAGGCTACTGGATGAAATAATATGACTGGTATAGGTGCAAAAATTAAAAAATATTATGATAAAATATTTTTTCGGCAGTAACACCTCCGCGGCCCGGTACCGGTCCGCGGACCGGGGGTTGGGAACCCCTGGTCTAGGTGATACATATCTTTACTGGGGATGTTTTTTTTCTGTTATTGCTTTTCATAAGCCCGACAGCCATGAACCAGTTACTAGTTAGTAATTCAGCGTCTGTAAGACCTGCAAACACTTTGCAGAATGTGTTGTATTTTACTGCTCAGACCATTTGACTCATTGTTCTGATTATTAAAAAAAGGTTGCCATCATTATTGTATTCAGATTATTGTTTGTATATCAATCTTTCGTTTTCTTTAATTGTAAATGTATCATTATTTAGGTGGAGCCTTCATGTTATCCCAGTGGGGTTTCTTCCTCTCCCTGCACTGTATATCATTTACTGTCTGTTATGTTCTCTATATTTCAGTTGTGTAAAACACTTAAATAAATATCAGGTTTGTAGTTTTTCCGTAATCCTGCTGACAAACCAAGCGAAACCTAACCAGTTCAGCAGAGGCATTAATAATAATACAAATATATATATATATATCCATAGATACTTGCAGTACAACAGATAAACACATAGTACATGTCTGTGTTGGTTGTGACGTAGAAAATGTGCTCTGACCCCTACAGGAAAGGAGGCAACAACAAGCTGATAAAGATCTTCCACCGGGAGGGGAAGTACGGCTTCTCCGACCCTTTGACCTTCAGCTCCGTGGTGGAGCTCATCAACCATTACCGCCACGAGTCCCTGGCGCAGTACAACCCCAAACTGGACGTCAAGCTGCTGTACCCGGTGTCCAAACACCAGCAGGTATGTGCACCGTCACTACTCTGAGACTGATAGTTCCTCACTCATTGAGTCGTCTGACTGGACATGTTGTTGTTGTTGTTGTTGTTCAGGACCAGGTGGTGAAGGAGGACAGCATTGAAGCTGTAGGGAAGAAGCTCCACGAATATCACCTGCAGTACCAGGAGAAGAACCGGGAGTACGACCGACTGTACGAGGAATACACCAGAACCTCACAGGTACACAGTACTGTGCAGATTATTAACACTAATAATCACACGTTTAAAATACCATTATTTACTTGGATTTTGGGGGGGGGATAAAACAAATACACGTGGTGTTGTAATAAAGACATTCATGACAAACTGGTTAGAGAAATCAGAGGGTTTTTTATTTTATTATAACAGGTTTTCTGAATGATTGGCATCAATTCAGACAATTTCCCGCCACTTATCTAAAGCATCAGCAAAGCCAGTGTGATCGCCCTCTGTATAACGTGCGCTACACAGGGCATATTATCTCTGCTGCTATCATACTGCAAGCACTATATGTTCCTGCAGTGGTGACCCAGGCTGCGTTTCACTTCTCTTATTCTTCATTTCCTCGGCCTCGGTCTCACCAGAAGTTGATTTGTCTGCGCCATCTTGAGTAGCGTCCCATGGCTCTTATTTTTGCCGGAGGAGCGAGGAGCGATAATGGAGGAGCTATAACCGAGGAACCACCAGACCATCCTCCGATAAAATCCTCAGACACTCGCCCCGCCCCCTTACTGTGTATCGCTCACTGATTGGACGAGGCAGTGCATGCACTGATCTGATGCTTCTTGACATGAGAGCAGTTTCCCAGCGGAGTGAAGAAAATACATGAACCTCACGGGAGTCACTCCTCAGTTTATACCGTGTTTTGTTTCAATTCATGTATCATTTAGTTACAAATATGTGATATATCTGAACAACAAAGTGGTCAAAAATCATTTTATTCATTTATTGAAACCATTTTCATGATCGCTTTTTTCGTTTCACATTTTCATTTATTGTCATTTCCATTCAGTCAGTCATTAAGTGCTATTTAAATGTTAATGTGCTACATATCCACACAAACACACAAAGTGTGCAATCCAATGAATGTTAATCTAACTGAGTTTTGATAGATAACATATCTCTTTTTCTTCTCTCAATTATTTTATTTCTATTGTGCACTCTAATCAATATTAATCAAACTATTGTTCGTTTACATTTTAAGAAGGGCGTTTATCTTTTTTGAGAATGAGTTCTTATTTTATTTTATTTATTGGGGTCTGCAACAGATGATATGTTTGTGTCAGTAAATGTGTGCTAACAGAGGCGGGGGGGTGTGTGGAAATAACGGGGACAGAGCTGCTGTCAGACGAACAGCTGTGCGGCATCATCACAAACGGACGTCGCTTCATGTGACGCTCCGGAGGAAAGGACGTCCCATTGCTCTTAAAACTCATTTCCCTGCTTCTCGTGGTTTCCTTGCTCCTCCATGCTTCCCTGGTGGGAGGGACTAGACGCAGGGAAACGACGCAAGTGAGGGAAGCAAGGAATCCATTTAACCAAAGTGAAACGCAGCTCCTGTCCAATATCTTGGGTCAGCAAAATGCCTTTCCTCCATTTTCACATCACCTAAAGAACAAGTGCTGAACATTTGTCAGGGATTAGCTGTGCCCTTGCTTGTTGATGTCCACTGGTCTCCAGTCAGTGCAGAACCTGTAGCTGGTGTCAGTTCCTCTGCTTTTGCATTGCTATGCATTTCATGGTAAACATCCGTACTGGTATCACAGCAGCACATTAGGGTCAAACTGGGTAATGTGATTAATATGAGCACATTAAAAAAAAAAGCGTTAAGCAAAATGAATCTCGAATGTTAAGGCGTTAATGTTGACCGCTTTAAAAGAAACAACAACGATGAAACAAACACACACACAATTTATTTTTAAGGAATAACCACAATATAAAGAAAACACATTTTAGCGAACATCAAAACAGCACCTACACACACACACACACACACACACACACACACACACACACACACACACACACACACACACACACACACACACACACACACACCAAAATGATCTCCCATTATCAGGAAACATTGAAATTGTAAAGAATTATAAATTCAAGGGGAACATTATACATTGTAAGATGCACTTGAAATGACTTTTAATTACATGTATTCCTCATAGAAGAGAATAAAACACATTACTATGTCTTTTGTATTTCCAAAGTTCTCATTACAGACCAGAATGAGAATGTTTAGACATCAATAGATAACATGGGCCCTTTCAGAATAAAATATACTATACTTAAGCAGTAGTGCATAATCACATTACGGTTTGTAATGTATTGACAGTCTTAAGACTTTTTTTAATAACAAAGAAATCACAATAAGAAAGGCTCTCGCTGCATATCCGGAGTGGTTGCATGAAACGTACTCTAGCAGCTTCCCTTTTCATCACAGGCTAGTTTTATATATTGATGTCATTATTAAACAATCTATTTACATTATTTGTGTGTTAGTGTTTTTCTGCTGCAAATCTCTCTTTCTTGGATATTCTGTGCGAAGTTGTCCAACTTTTTTTGTTGACATAGTTTAGCTTGTCAACTAGCAGGTGGATTTCTATCTGCTCAGTCCACTCCACATAGAGTAACCTTAATGTTTCACATTGTATAGAAGGTTTTATCTAGTTGACTTTGTTACTTTACATCTGTCACCAGATCCATGACATGACCCTGCCGCAACAACACATCAGTTACATCAACATGTGTAAAAGTGCAAATAACTAGACGTCATATATCTGATATGGTTATTGAATCACAGCTTTGAACCAATCAGGTTGCTAATTTGAGCTACCAGTTTTATATTCTAATATTATAAGTATTGATGCCTGTTCATCACTGTAGTGTCGCAGGTGGAAAGGGGGAGCTCATTTTAATGATTTTAAATAAACCTAGGAAGAATCTAAAATAATATCATTTATTAGCTGATTATATTTTGTATCATTTAATCTGAATCATAAAGTATAAACATTAGGTAAATTATCTCAATATTTCACTTAAGTGTACTTACCTTCCATCACTTTTTAAATGAATGTAGTGAGGAAGCTATGTCCGACAAAGGCAGTAACACACTCACACCCTCCTCTCTTCCTCCCCTCAGGAGATCCAGATGAAGAGGACGGCCATCGAGGCGTTTAACGAGACCATAAAGATCTTCGAGGAGCAGTGTCAGACTCAGGACCGCTTCAGCAAAGAGTACATCGAGAAGTTTCGCCGGGAGGGCAACGACAAGGAGATCCAGAGGTAGGGCTGTTGCCACGGCAACTGTGGAAGAGACCTTTTTTCAGACACACACACTGTGAATGAGCCCTAGTTGCCATGGCACCAGAGGCTGAAGGAAGAATCCACCTGCTGGTCAAATTAGTCTAAATAAAAAAAGATGTGTTGTCCTGTCAGATCGACTCACATGCTTAGTTTCCTTTTGATTTGGGATTTATAATATATTTCTTTACACTAATGCGTATGATTGACACTTATAGAGGATGCTCATTCTCAGGTGTATATCAGTATGTAGTGTCTCTACATGTCTCCATGCTCTAATGTTCAAAAAGCTCTTTATGTTTCTCATACTGCCTGTGCTGCAGCACCTCTTTTCACCCTCTGTCTGAAACCAGAGCCCAGTCTGCTCTGATTGGTTAGGGGAGGGGGGAGAGAAACTCCCTCTGGAGGGCACACAGGGATTTTAGCCTTTTGCAGACCATTTGCATTTTGGCTTTCAATCGCTGTGTGTAATAAAAACTGAATGATTTCAAAATGTTTTTCCAGGATCATGGAGAACTACGACAAGCTGAAGTCTCGGATCAGTGAGATCGTGGACAGTAAGCGTCACCTGGAGGTGGATCTGAAGACACAGGCCGCAGACTACAGAGAGATCGACAAGAAGATGAACAGCATCAAACCAGACCTGATCCAGCTCCGCAAGACCAGGGACCAGTACCTCATGTGAGAGACACGCTCAGAGACGCATGATAGCTGAATGCTACCCACAGTCATTACTAACTGATATATCATTATACTGTGTTTGTCAGGTGGTTGACGCAGAAGGGAGTTCGTCAGAGGAAACTCAACGAGTGGCTGGGCCTGAAGAACGAAACAACCGAGGAGTAAGTTTGATAAATCAACTTGTTTTATCCAACACACACTCTTCTTAAACTCCTAGTTAAACACCAATTTTAGGAATGATTTCATCTTTACCTCCTTGCCTTAACCAACAACAAGGCAAGGTGAACATATTCCTAAAATCTATGTGTTATGTGAGTAGAAATGTAATACCGTGTAATACGTAAGTCTTTAAATGAAAGCAAATGTGAAACTGCAATATTAGTCATTTAGGTCCGATTTCTTAGAAAAACCATTAGAAATGATTTTGTAATCTTCATCCCGACAGCCAGATACATCATCTCTTGATAATGTGTTAGCATCACATCCTTAGCTTGTTTCATTCCCTGCTAACCTACCCCCCCCCCTCCCTCAGTGAGTACAGCATGGTGGAGGATGAGGAGGACCTTCCTCACCACGACGAGCGTCTGTGGCGTCTCGGAAACATCAACCGCATCCAGGCCGAGTCTCTGCTGCGCGGGAAGAGAGACGGATCCTTCCTCGTCCGAGACAGCAGCAAGCCGGGCTGCTACGCCTGCTCTGTGGTGTAAGAGACCGTCTATTCACCTGCTAATTTACTTCTATTCACCTGATTATTTACTTCTATTCACCTGATTATTTATTTCTATTCACCTGCTAATTTACTTCTATTCACCTGCTAATTTACTTCTATTCACCTGATTATTTATTTCTATTCACCTGCTAATTTACTTCTATTCACCTGCTAATTTACTTCTATTCACCTGATTATTTATTTCTATTCACCTGATTATTTATTTCTATTCACCTGATTATTTATTTCTATTCACCTGATTATTTATTTCTATTCACCTGAATTATTATTTCTATTCACCTGCTAATTTACTTCTATTCACCTGCTATTTACTTCTATTCACCTGATTATTTATTTCTATTCACCTGCTAATTTACTTCTATTCACCTGCTAATTTACTTCTATTCACCTGCTAATTTACTTCTATTCACCTGATTATTTACTTCTATTCACCTGATTATTTATTTCTATTCACCTGCTAATTTACTTCTATTCACCTGATTATTTATTTCTATTCACCTGATTATTTACTTCTATTCACCTGATTATTTATTTCTATTCACCTGATTATTTATTTCTATTCACCTGCTAATTTACTTCTATTCACCTGCTAATTTACTTCTATTCACCTGATTATTTATTTCTATTCACCTGATTATTTATTTCTATTCACCTGATTATTTATTTCTATTCACCTGCTAATTTACTTCTATTCACCTGATTATTTATTTCTATTCACCTGCTAATTTACTTCTATTCACCTGCTAATTTACTTCTATTCACCTGCTAATTTACTTCTATTCACCTGCTAATTTACTTCTATTCACCTGATTATTTATTTCTATTCACCTGATTATTTATTTCTATTCACCTGATTATTTATTTCTATTCACCTGATTATTTATTTCTATTCACCTGATTATTTATTTCTATTCACCTGCTAATTTACTTCTATTCACCTGCTAATTTACTTCTATTCACCTGATTATTTATTTCTATTCACCTGATTATTTATTTCTATTCACCTGCTAATTTACTTCTATTCACCTGCTAATTTACTTCTATTCACCTGCTAATTTACTTCTATTCACCTGATTATTTATTTCTATTCACCTGCTAATTTACTTCTATTCACCTGCTAATTTACTTCTATTCACCTGCTAATTTACTTCTATTCACCTGATTATTTATTTCTATTCACCTGATTATTTACTTCTATTCACCTGATTATTTATTTCTATTCACCTGCTAATTTACTTCTATTCACCTGCTAATTTATTTCTATTCACCTGATTATTTACTTCTATTCACCTGATTATTTACTTCTATTCACCTGATTATTTATTTCTATTCACCTGCTTATTTATTTCTATTCACCTGCTAATTTACTTCTATTCACCTGATTATTTACTTCTATTCACCTGATTATTTACTTCTATTCACCTGATTATTTATTTCTATTCACCTGATTATTTACTTCTATTCACCTGATTATTTATTTCTATTCACCTGATTATTTATTTCTATTCACCTGCTAATTTACTTCTATTCACCTGCTAATTTACTTCTATTCACCTGATTATTTATTTCTATTCACCTGATTATTTATTTCTATTCACCTGATTATTTATTTCTATTCACCTGATTATTTATTTCTATTCACCTGCTAATTTACTTCTATTCACCTGCTTATTTATTTCTATTCACCTGATTATTTATTTCTATTCACCTGCTAATTTACTTCTATTCACCTGCTAATTTACTTCTATTCACCTGATTATTTATTTCTATTCACCTGATTATTTATTTCTATTCACCTGATTATTTATTTCTATTCACCTGATTATTTACTTCTATTCACCTGATTATTTATTTCTATTCACCTGATTATTTATTTCTATTCACCTGCTAATTTACTTCTATTCACCTGCTAATTTACTTCTATTCACCTGCTAATTTACTTCTATTCACCTGATTATTTATTTCTATTCACCTGATTATTTTTTTCTATTCACCTGATTATTTATTTCTATTCACCTGATTATTTATTTCTATTCACCTGATTATTTATTTCTATTCACCTGCTAATTTACTTCTATTCACCTGCTAATTTACTTCTATTCACCTGCTAATTTACTTCTATTCACCTGCTAATTTACTTCTATTCACCTGATTATTTATTTCTATTCACCTGATTATTTATTTCTATTCACCTGCTAATTTACTTCTATTCACCTGATTATTTATTTCTATTCACCTGATTATTTATTTCTATTCACCTGATTATTTATTTCTATTCACCTGCTAATTTACTTCTATTCACCTGCTAATTTACTTCTATTCACCTGCTAATTTACTTCTATTCACCTGCTAATTTACTTCTATTCACCTGATTATTTATTTCTATTCACCTGCTAATTTACTTCTATTCACCTGCTAATTTACTTCTATTCACCTGATTATTTACTTCTATTCACCTGATTATTTACTTCTATTCACCTGCTAATTTACTTCTATTCACCTGATTATTTACTTCTATTCACCTGCTAATTTACTTCTATTCACCTGCTAATTTACTTCTATTCACCTGATTATTTATTTCTATTCACCTGATTATTTATTTATATTCACCTGCTAATTTACTTCTATTCACCTGCTAATTTATTTCTATTCACCTGATTATTTATTTATATTCACCTGCTAATTTACTTCTATTCACCTGCTAATTTACTTCTATTCACCTGCTAATTTACTTCTATTCACCTGCTAATTTACTTCTATTCACCTGCTAATTTATTTCTATTCACCTGATTATTTATTTCTATTCACCTGCTAATTTACTTCTATTCACCTGCTAATTTACTTCTATTCACCTGCTAATTTACTTCTATTCACCTGCTAATTTACTTCTATTCACCTGCTAATTTATTTCTATTCACCTGATTATTTATTTCTATTCACCTGATTATTTATTTCTATTCACCTGCTAATTTACTTCTATTCACCTGCTAATTTACTTCTATTCACCTGCTAATTTATTTCTATTCACCTGATTATTTATTTCTATTCACCTGATTATTTATTTATATTCACCTGCTAATTTACTTCTATTCACCTGCTAATTTACTTCTATTCACCTGCTAATTTACTTCTATTCACCTGCTAATTTACTTCTATTCACCTGCTAATTTATTTCTATTCACCTGATTATTTATTTATATTCACCTGCTAATTTATTTCTATTCACCTGCTAATTTACTTCTATTCACCTGCTAATTTACTTCTATTCACCTGCTAATTTACTTCTATTCACCTGATTATTTATTTCTATTCACCTGATTATTTATTTCTATTCACCTGATTATTTATTTCTATTCACCTGATTATTTATTTCTATTCACCTGCTAATTTACTTCTATTCACCTGATTATTTATTTCTATTCACCTGCTAATTTACTTCTATTCACCTGCTAATTTACTTCTATTCACCTGATTATTTATTTCTATTCACCTGCTAATTTACTTATATTCACCTGCTAATTTACTTCTATTCACCTGATTATTTACTTCTATTCACCTGCTAATTTACTTCTATTCACCTGCTAATTTACTTCTATTCACCTGATTATTTATTTCTATTCACCTGCTAATTTACTTCTATTCACCTGCTAATTTACTTCTATTCACCTGCTAATTTACTTCTATTCACCTGCTAATTTACTTCTATTCACCTGATTATTTATTTCTATTCACCTGCTAATTTACTTCTATTCACCTGATTATTTATTCTATTCACCTGCTAATTACTTCTATTCACCTGCTAATTTACTTCTATTCACCTGATTATTTATTTCTATTCACCTGCTAATTTACTTCTATTCACCTGATTATTTATTTCTATTCACCTGCTAATTTACTTCTATTCACCTGATTATTTATTTCTATTCACCTGCTAATTTACTTCTATTCACCTGATTATTTATTTCTATTCACCTGCTAATTTACTTCTATTCACCTGCTAATTTACTTCTATTCACCTGATTATTTATTTCTATTCACCTGCTAATTTACTTCTATTCACCTGATTATTTATTTCTATTCACCTGCTAATTTACTTCTATTCACCTGATTATTTATTTCTATTCACCTGCTAATTTACTTCTATTCACCTGCTAATTTACTTCTATTCACCTGATTATTTATTTCTATTCACCTGCTAATTTACTTCTATTCACCTGCTAATTTATTTCTATTCACCTGATTATTTATTTCTATTCACCTGCTAATTTACTTCTATTCACCTGCTAATTTACTTCTATTCACCTGATTATTTACTTCTATTCACCTGCTAATTTACTTCTATTCACCTGATTATTTACTTCTATTCACCTGATTATTTACTTCTATTCACCTGCTAATTTACTTCTATTCACCTGCTTATTTATTTCTATTCACCTGATTATTTATTTCTATTCACCTGCTAATTTACTTCTATTCACCTGCTAATTTACTTCTATTCACCTGCTAATTTACTTCTATTCACCTGCTAATTTATTTCTATTCACCTGATTATTTATTTATATTCACCTGCTAATTTATTTCTATTCACCTGCTAATTTACTTCTATTCACCTGCTAATTTACTTCTATTCACCTGCTAATTTACTTTCTATCACCTGATTATTTATTTCTATTCACCTGATTATTTATTTCTATTCACCTGATTATTTATTTCTATTCACCTGATTATTTATTTCTATTCACCTGCTAATTTACTTCTATTCACCTATGATTATTTATTTCTATTCACCTGCTAATTTACTTCTATTCACCTGCTAATTTACTTCTATCACCTGCTAATTTTACTTCTACTTCACCTGATTATTTATTTCTATTCACACCTGCTAATTTACTTATATTCACCTGCTAATTTACTTCTATTCACCTGATTATTTACTTCTATTCACCTGCTTATTTACTTCTATTCACCTGCTA